CTATCATGTTGAATAATTAATTAGGCCTTTAATTAATTATTTCCCACTATTTTAACAAACCAACAACCCTCAATGTTGATTCGGAGATTCTCCTAGAGATTCTCTTAATGGGCCAAGATCCATATATCATTAAATTCTAGTTGACCTGAGGTTCGTACCTAGAATTTAACTATTTAGGTAGGAACATAGTTCCAACTGTCGAGCCGCGCTCACAGTTCTTGGTCTTGTGTTGGGCGAACGACAATACTACTTACGGACCAGAACACCGTTTCATTATACATGTGATTGGCTTTGGCACGTACCACATGCACAACTACTTTAGTTAGGGCTAAGCCCAATTAAGTCATAGAGACCCAACTTCTGATAGATGAGTGAGTAAAGTAATTCGACTTGTCAGTATAGTGACCCCAACGAAACCCGCCTCTGAGTCATCCATCCATTTGACCGAGACTCAGTTAAGTCTAACCCAACGTTTGACAATGACCACTTAAGTGATTCCCGTGACCAGCATAACATACACCGTACTACGCTCTGCTAGGGCTGAGTACGTGACAGTGCACATTAGCCGGAAAGGTGCCGGGCGCCGGAAGGCAATACAGACTTAATATTTCGAGGGATTTTATATTAATTACGTTCTCACCTATGACACATGCCGCGCACGTGTCAATTTACTAGCGTAAAACATACTTCACATGCATTCAAAATACGCAGTAAATAAACGTGTAATGATTGTGGCCCCTAAAAGAAAATAAAACGATAGCTCCCACTGACTTCCACGCATTTGGACTTCGGGCTATCTCCATTCCTTTAGATTCCCTCGAGCGGACTTCAAATCCTTTTATCTTCTAACCACCACGTGAGAAAAGAATCCTCGGTTGAGGTAAGAGAGAGAAATAGATTTACAACGAGAGTTTTGAGATAAGGCACGGCACGCAGGCCGTATTTAAATTACATCAATAATGAATAACTAAAGCCACAATCATCTACCATGCATATCATACATCCACACAGGCAATAGAGATATACATACACCGGGCGAACCGCGCTCGCCCCCGACAATTCTAGAAAAATACTACGTTGGTAATAATTTCTAAAATTCATAAATTGGTCCAAAAATTATGAAATTTTACCAAGTCATCCTAAACATATTAAGAGACTTTCGGGCAGGGGCAAAACTGGAAAATAAATTTCCAGGAAACACAGAATTACGAAAATGCCCCTAGTGCAAAGTTTATTCCAAAGTTCATTTTAAATTTGAAATAAATTTGCGAAAAATCATGAAAATTAATTTCAAACTTCCAGTAACTATTTTATACATTTATAAATTGGAAAAATAAATTTCCAGAATTTATAAATATTTATTTCCCAAATATATTAATTATATCTCAATAGTTGCAAAATAAATTTTAAACCATTTTTCAAAAATCATTAAATTATAAAATTTAATATTTAGAGAAATCAACTTACTTTTTACTGAGATATAATTTTCCAAAATGATATTAGCCATTTTCAATTTATATATATATATATATATATATATATCTTCAGATGCTTGGGTTTTTGGGTTTTTGACATTGTAGAACTCCTAATCTATACTGTTTTCTTTCTTTTATTTCTGTACTTTGGTTGCTTGCCCTGTTTGCCTGGCTTGGTGCCCTTTTTTAATCAAATATATATATATAATATATATATATATATATATATATATATATATATATATATATATATATATATATATATATATATTGGTTCTGGTGAGAATGTAATCTTAGGAGAGAAATGAGAACGAATCTGTTGCTTTAGATTGTGAGATCTAAGGGTCAATATTTCATCAAAATTAGATGCACCAAAATGGTGCAAAAATGCATCACGTCGAAATGCACCATAAACCTTTGAAAATGCACTATCTCAAAATCTGAGCGCAGGATGCAATCTGAGCTACACGATGCATCAGATCCGACGGCTAGATTTTATTCTCATTTCTCTCCACAAGGCGCATTCTCACGAGAACCGGCCCCTATATATATATATATATATTAATTAGAAAATTATTATTAAGGGTCAAGCCCAAAAGAAAAAACAAAACACTGAAGAAAGAAAACGAAGATGATGCTCTAAGCATCCTAAAAAGGAAAAAAAACAAGAGGAAAAGGAAACAAGCCCGGAACAAAGGACCAAAACAGTGAAAGCGAGATACACCCAAAACAAGCTAATGATCTAACCGAACAATCCAACTGATTACCAGCCCACAAATTGGTAACAACCATACTTCCAGCACCAAAGAGAGCATTCAAATCCATATATGCACCGAGTACTACAAATCCCCATGGCCTAAGGGAACGGGCATCAGACCTGGAAGAGCGCACCTGATAGCAAATAAAGTCGTGAAAGAAACCCATGTCGATTGAAGTATACAAAGCACTATAATCCCATCGAAGCCAAACTATCAAATAAAGTACCAATCTTTCAACAGGAAACCACTTTCAAAAAAGAGTAACCCAAGTCAAATAACTCCATATTGTGTTGCCATCACTCAAAAGTCAAAAATCAAATAGACGCACCCAACACCCCAGGAAGGACGAAAAACCAGGAAAACTAAATCAAGAAAACCTCAACAGCTCCTTCTTACGAGGCCGAACAGAAGGCAGACTGCAAAACCCCCATTGGTCTTCGGACTCATTAGAATACTCAGAGCAGATTGGGGAGGGAGAGCGCCTTCGCCGGGCAAGCCTAAGGCTTCTCCTAGGAGCTGGAGGGCTTGATGCACAAACACCGCCTCTTTCAAAAATGATCCGGCTCTGATCATTATTTCGTAAGACCTTTAGGTCCTCCCCACCGTTGTAGATGGTCATCAGGCTCAATACCGTCATCTGGATACCATACTCTGTTTGGTTCTGGGTCAGGATCGAACTCCTTATTATCTCTGAAGAATGGTAGAAAAGCAATGTTGTCCTCCTTAACAAAAATTTCTGTGTCGGAATGATAAACAGGAGCAGAGAAATGACCTGCTTTATTACCCTCTTCTTCCGGAAAAACTGCCTGAATAGGTACCAATGATTCAACAATAGCCAAGTTATCAATTGTTCCTTGCTCCACAGAAGGTTGAGCCTCTTGAGAAGAGTGATGGGATAAGGAGTTAACCGAGGGATCCTTGGTGTTAGAAGACTGACCATACTCTTTGGCAGCAAACTGTTCTTGAAAGAACCTCTTGGATAGAAGGTCATCTTCAAAAGGTGCCAGTTTGGCAATATTGAGTTGTAAGAATTGGATCCAAAGCTGATAAAAAGTCTCACCAAGTGCCTGAACCATGATATTCAGATTGTTATCATCCTTGGAACTAGCAGCTACCAAATCCTTAGAACTTGTCGTGGGATTAGACACTGGAGGAATTGCAAACTGATCCAAAGCCCCTTCTAAACCTACTGGTTCCAGTGTAAGAGGGCCTGGTGGGAGTTTAGTCTTACAACAGATTGGTAAGGCTGGAAATTCCTCAACCATCGAACCATTCTTGTCCCCATTCGACATAATAAATCCAGACTCAGTAGAATTTACCTCGTGATTAGTTAAATCCTCCATAGGCCGCTGATCAGCTTTAAAAATCTTTGAAACTGCATCACTGTGAACATTAGCTGACTTATCTGACTGCTTCTGGCCTGCTGTAACCAGTTGCACCTTCGGGCTATCAAACTTTGACTTACCAAAAAAAGAGTCAATGGCAGAGAAGAACTTGATGCATCTATCATTGATGACTGGTACAAAAATTGAATTGCCACCACCTTCAACTCTTGACTCAACAATCCTAATGAAATTACCCCATCTGTTGGACCCAAACAAAATAGAGAGCTTTCGGAATTTTTCATACCTAGTAATTGCCCAAGGATTCCTCTTGCTTAATGATGGTAATATTTCAATAAGCCATTTCATATCTTCAATACTAAACCAAATATGATATTGCCTACGCCCAATCTCAGTAATGCAGAAATTTTGGTTGTAATAAGACTGAAAGAGAATAAAGATCTTCGATTGAATCCGGAAAGAGTGAATCCGATTGAGAGTATTACCATTAAGCTTGAAATCAATAGGTTGGGGCTTTGTTCTAAGCATTTGCTTCCCGTGGTAAACATCATCGAAGGATGAATAGCCAAAGCGATCCATCCATCGTGGCCCTCGTCGTTGATTGAAAGTAACAAAAGGATAAGCATATTGACGATGAGAGGAATAAATTTCCCTTCCGTTACCTGAAACCCATTGTTGCCGGAACCCAGAGGAGTTAGGGTTGCGATCGGCCCGACGGTGGCGTAAATCGCCAGAAGGAAATCCTCTCTCTAAACCCATTCATATATATATATATATATATATATATATATATATATATATATATATATATGTATATATATATATATAGGGGTCGGTTCCCGTGAGAATGCACCTTGTGGAGAGAAATGAGAATAAAATCTAGCCGTCGAATCTGATGCATCGTGCGGCTTAGATTGCATCCTGCGCTCAGATTTTGAGATAGTGCATTTTCGAAGATTTATGGTGCATTTCGACGTGATGCATTTTTGCACCATTTTGATGCATCTAATTTTGATGAAATCTTGACCCTTAGATCTCACAATCTAAAGCACCATATTCATTCTCATTTCTCTCCTAAAATTGCATTCTCACCAGAACCAAAATCTATATATATATATATATATATATATATATATATATATATATATATATATATATATATATATATATATATATATATATATATATATTACTCGGTAATATATATATGCCGAAATATATATATATAATTAATTACTAACTAATATGATTTTGTCCAATATATTTATGAACAACTTTATTTCACCTAGAAATAATATTTCCAAGTTTTATAATGTTCATTTTTGAGTTTCCAATATTTATTTAAGATTTATTAGAACTAAATCTAAACAAATACAATTAACTCAAAAATTGGAAATAAACAATTTCTAAAATTACAATATAATTTTACTAACCATAAAATGAAATCTTATGTTCAAAAAAATTATATTAACAATTTTGAAATATATATATTAATATATATTCGAAATTTCCAAATATATGTATAAAATACATATTTTCGGCACAAATAAATAATGAATACTTATTTTAATGATTTATTTAAGTCTAATATTTATTCCAAGACTAAAATAAATCATTTTACTAATTTTCGAAATTAACAAATAATTACCAAGTTAAAAAATAATTTTGAACCGAAAAAGTTCTACGAAAAACTATAGTTTTGTACGTTGCCTTGATACCACTGAAAGGTTACCACGGTAGGGAGAGCAGCGGAAATACAAAAATTTAATCTCCCAATAGTAATTACTAGCCCAAGAACACGTACTAAAACTATAGCTAGAGATAGAAACTTATACCTTCTCCGGTAAAGCGGTATGAACGAGAAGTCGAGCAAAAGGTGGTGAAGGAGCAAACGTAGCCGTTCAAGCGTCCGGCCTCCAACTTTGACACACGAACAATCTCCAGAGTCTACTATAATCTTTATGCTAGTAAAGATTATAATAGTATATTTGATATAAAGATTATTTTAGAGATAATATAAATCTTGTATATTAAATAGTAGAAAATATATCAATAATATTTTGGAGAAAATATTATAACAATTATCTACACCCAAAATAATAACTTTTGGAACTCAAATATTATGCTGCTCCTCTCTTCTCTTGGCCGAACAACTGAAGTGAGTAGAGGGTGAAGATCCATTATTTAATCTATTAAAGAAAGAGAAACATTGATAATGATAAAATGACAAAAGGTTTTGTCCAATTACCTCCACCACTCATTTTACAAAGTGGGAGACAAGGGAAGCTCCATAAAGCATATGTACGAAATGGTGAGGGGAGGAATTTAATTCTCCTCCTGTCAAATGTTCAAAGTGTATTTTATTTAACATCAATAATTTTTATGATATAAAATAAAATACCCAAAACATTTTAAAACAAGTATATAAAATATACTTTAAAATAGTTTTTGTCAAAATAATTATTTTTCATAATTAAAATGACACTCCAAAATAAAATGTACACAATATAATATATAATGTAATATATATATATACATATATGTACACGTTATAAGTATATTACATATATATGTACCCACGCACATTATATATGTATACTTATATATGTGTGTGCCGTGTACAAAGTATATATATATATATATATATATATATATATATATACATACATAGATGGATAGATTTTGGTTTCTGGTGAGAATGCAATCTTAGAAGAGAAATGAGAATGAATCTGGTGTTTTAGATTGTGAGATCTAAAGGTCAAGATTTCATCAAAATTAAATGCACCAAAATGGTGCGAAAATGCATCACGTTGAAATGCATCATAAACCTTCGAAAATGCACTATCTCAAAATCTGAGTGCAGGATGCAATCTGAGCCGCACGATGCATCAGATTCGACGGCTAGATTTCATTCTCATTTCTCTCCACAAGGTGCATTCTCACGGGAACCGGCCCCTAGATAGATATATACATATATATACATACATAGATAAGATATATATATATATATATATATATATATATATATTAAACATTTTACTTTACTATTTTACAATATACAAATTATATATTATCCCTTCTAATAATCCTACTCTTTATATTGTCCAAAGTGTGTGACCCATATATGCACTTATAAAACTGGCCGCAGTATTGACTCTACACCAATACTATAAGTAATAAGCGGTATCTAGCAACACATTATTACCCCCAGATTATAAGTTCAGACGTTTGCTCCGTCAAAACCTTTTTACGACTAAGACTTTGTATAACGTAGATCCTTTTGTCCCAATGTCTTAACTTAGTGCATGGGATATAAAATATCCAACTTGTAGCCATTAAGTTATTTACTGATTAACAAGTCTGACTGATGAGAACAGATGTCTAAACTCATCTCAGCATGGCCATGCATTTTTTCAGTCATACTTATCTGTGGGCCCCTACAAGACATTATTCTGCTTGAGTAGCAGTGAAAAATTCTTTGTACGTAATCTACGTCTTCGAATACGTGCAGCGGCATGCCCAATACAAAGCCTGTGTACCATCCTTATTTCATACGGCTTAGGACAATGAATCAAAGCATGCGGGTTCACACATTCGAAGAACGTAATACTTCAAGTCTGAGGATCGTTATACCAATAGTCGCATTAAGGACACTTAGAGCATAGACTAAAAGTCTAGGNGTGGGCCCCTACAAGACATTATTCTGCTTGAGTAGCAGTGAAAAATTCTTTGTACGTAATCTACGTCTTCGAATACGTGCAGCGGCATGCCCAATACAAAGCCTGTGTACCATCCTTATTTCATACGGCTTAGGACAATGAATCAAAGCATGCGGGTTCACACATTCGAAGAACGTAATACTTCAAGTCTGAGGATCGTTATACCAATAGTCGCATTAAGGACACTTAGAGCATAGACTAAAAGTCTAGGAAATGCCCTTAAGGTGGGTAAGGTCTGGCATCCTATTATTAACGATAATATCTGCCTGAGAGTAGATGCGAACACTCCATCATTTGACCAAGAGACTAGGTCAAACATCTAACTCTCACTAGTTTCACACGCATTAACGATATCCTGCTCTCGTTAATGCTTCGACTATAGACCGTTCAGAATTATACTAAGTGACAAGATGTCAGTCTCAACATCAGAAGACTCATTCTGATAAACATCTTATAATATAATTCTAGGAATGCAATTAAGAGTTTACATTAGCATGAGATGTTTGTATACTTAATGCATCTGCCTTTACATGATAGAAAATATCTAAGATATTACAACAGCAGTTGGCCATAAAGGCACCAACTCCAACAGATTCTTCTTTTGGATAACCCAGCCCGGTTCTATCTCCATACATCTTGGAGATGTCAACTTGCTGCTCAATAGCTTTTGCCTTTGTGCTCAGCATCCATTCTTGTGAAATTCCAGCTCCTGCTTTATTCATCCACTTCTGATACTTCATGTGATGATCAAGCTCATGCCTCAGATTTGCATTTCCTGTTTCCTTTTGATTCAGCTCATTTTGCAGCTTCTCAATAGTTTGTTCACAGATCTGCAGTTTAGTTTTTAAGAGGATATTTTCAGATACATTCCTCTTGTTAATATCAAGCAAATCACTCCACTTTTCTTGGAGTATCCTTAGTTGCTCTTCAGAATCTTCTTGTACTTCTAATGTGACAAAGGCGCAGTTACTTTCTCCATCAGTATCTCCAGTGTCTGGTTCTTCATCACTACATGTTGAGGCAAAAGCATGCCTCTTCTTTTTCATGTTGTTGGCGCATTCTGTCTGAATATGACCGAAACCACCACATTCGAAGCATTGTGGTCCCTTTCTTCTTGATTCTGATGGTTGCATCCTGAATTCTTTTTCTTTCACCATCCTGGATTGTGAACCTCTCTGTGGATCTTGTATGAGAGCTTGTTTCCCTTTCCTTTGAAGCCACCTTTTTGTAAACTGCTTGGTAACCAGGGAGAGGTGTTCTTGAAAGTCATCATCTGATATGAGATCGTCTTCTAGGTCTAGATCACCAACCTGAAACGCTGTTTGTTTCTCAGTCTTCTTCTTCTTTTGCTCTTCTGACATGGCCAGTTCGATGGTTTCAAGATTTCCCATCAGTTGATCTAGTGTCATCCTTTTCAGTTCATGTGCTTGACGTATGGCCTTGGCATCAACTGAGTAGCTTTCTGGTAGGGCACGCAGAACCTTTAGAACAAGATTGTCTTCTTCAAAAGGTCTTCCAAGTCGTTCTGCTTCATTTGCCAAGTCTCTCACTCTGCCATGAAATTCAATAATGCTTTCCTTATCTTCCATTAGGAGATTTTCAAGTTTTGTCATGAGAATTTGGTATTTTGCTGTCTTAACTCTCTCATCCCCTTCGTGAGTTGTCTCGAGAATCTTCCATGCCTTCTTTGCCTCAGTGCAGTTTGCAATGAGTCTGTATTGAAAACTATCCACTGCTCCAAACAAAGCATTTAAAGCCTTGTCATTGCATTCAGCAGCTGTCGCTTCTTCCTTTGAGTATTCCTCAAATGTTTTGGGAATTTTAGCATCTGATCCACTTACTATCTTTGTAGGTATCTGCCAACCAGTTTCGACACTTCTCTAGACTCTTCCTCCTTGTGATTTTAGAAAGGCCTTCATGCGCCCCTTCCAGAAGTTGTAGTTTGGTCCCCTTAGCAGTGGTGGTCGTTGTACATTTGCTCCTTCTTCCATATCTCCCATGTTTGATCTTTAAAGCTAGTAACTTAAGCTTTAATGGCTCTGATACCAATTGAAAGTTTCACTACCCTCAGCGTACGACCTGTAACAATCTAAGATCAACAGGTTGTGACAGAGGATGCTGTAGCACTACTCAACACTAGCAAAGTGCTACACCAACCTCTTAGCAAATAGTTAACAACAGAAAAAGAACAACACACAACACACAAATTGTTTACGCAGTTCGGAGCAAATTCTCCTACGTCTGCGAGGCCCACGTCAGTGTAATAGCCTTCCCACTATATCACCATAGAGAGTTTACAACCTCAATGTCAACAGACTCGATCTATCCATTGATCTAAACTCTATGACCAACTGGGAATGCAATTAACTCGGTTTATGCATGCATGCCGAGACTGAAACACTATGAAACTTATTTGTGACGTGTTCCTAGATTACACTACAGTACTTCTCAATTCAACTGTCTAGAACGCACGTTAATCTTCCCGCAGAAGGCTATTCTGCATACCAGTTATATGTGTCCTTCAATCAGCTTGGTTGATGAACTCTGTACTCAGGATTCTCTCTTGATATATTTTCTCTCTCTACTCGCACGCCACAAACAAACAGATCTCCCTTTTATTTATACTTTGCAAGGCGAGATCAACCCTAGTAGAATCCTGATACACCTCTACCTACGAAGTGTGCTTATCGGGTAGAGTCCTTGATATGGCTTTCTTCCAATTCCGCACATGTTTATAATCACCTTTGGAGCTCAGAGTCCTTCTTCAGTTAGGTAAACAGCAATCTTTCTTCAGTTAGTAGAGTCCAGATGCACTTGGACTGTTTGAGTGATGGACAGGACGCTACAGCTCTATAAACCACATAGCTAGAACAAGTTGAGTACTAAAAACTACTACACATGGTTTTTGTCAAAAATAAAGCCAACACCTATGACAAAGAGGCTAACACCTATGACAAAGAGGCTAAGACACACCCAAGGAACCAACACTTAACACTGAGATGATACGCAAGTTCAAGGATTATTTGGCGTATTGTTTTCGAATGAAGAACTTGGGGACTTTGAAGTTCTTTCTTGGAATTGAGGTAGCATGAAACACATCTGGGATTTTTCTCTGCCAACGAAGCCTTAGATATTATTACTGAGGCAGAGTTGTTAGGTGCCAGGCTGTTGGGTGCCCCGATGGAGCCAAATCATCACTTGGCTCGTTCCCAAGCCCTAGTCCTTGCAGATCTAGAATCGTATCGACGGTTGGTAGGAAGGTTGGTGTATCTCTCTATTACACGACCGGAGCTTTCTTACGCCGTGCATACTTTAGCACAATTTTTGAAGGAACCAAGGGAGGATCAGTGGAATGTGGCATTTGGGGTGGTTCGTTATCTAAAAAGATGTCCTGGACATGGCATTTTTTTCTGTGCAGACAGTAGCCTTCAGCTTACAGGGTTGTGTGATTCGAACTGGGCAGCATGTCCTTTGACACGGCGGTCGCTGACGGGCTAGTTTGTACAACTTAGGGACACGCCTGTCTCATGGGAGACAAAGAAGCACACAACGGTGGCTCGGTCGTCTGCTAAGGCTGAGTACAAGGCTCTTTATATTCTTACATGTGAGTTGAAGTGGTTGAAGAATTTGTTATGATGTTTGGGAGTTGAACATAAGACCCCTATGACTGTTCGTTGTGACAGCACCGCGACCCTTCACATTGCCGCTAATCTAGTTTTTCACGAATACATGAAGCATATTGAGATAGATTGTCACTTTGTTCGTGATGAGCTCTTACGAGGAGAGATTCGTGCCTTCATGTACCTATTACGCATCAGCTTGCAGATATTCACACGAAGGTGTTGACCCTTGTGTTTTGATAATGACAACCATGCATATGGGATGAGCTTTGGATTTGGATCTTTTCATGTGGATTGCCTAGCACGTTGCTTAGAGATTCAAGACAAGATTTGAAGATTAAAGGTTTTCTAGATTTTTATTTCTTTTGAGTCTTAGTTCATGTTAAAGTGTTTGGCACATCTTTATTTTTCATATAATCTGTTTTTCCTACAGGAATTCCTCTTTGATTGTTCTCAAAACTCTTTTCTCAAAACCTTTCTTCAAAGATGTTTCTTCTCAGGTTTTTATTCGAATAAATCATTATTTATTCGAATAAGAAGGACTTGCAGATTGCAGTTCAGTCTGTTTTAATCGAACAAATACTTGTTTTATTTGAATAAGGGCTAATTCCAGTTTTTCCAAAGTTTTGAAAATTATTCGAATAAATGGGTATTTATTCGAATAAGTAGGCTCCCAGTTTGCAGTTCGTTCTGTTTTATTCAAATAAATCCAGTAATTATTCGAATAAGCCCTGTGTCTTGAAAATCCTGTTTTATCCAAACTATTCGAATAAAATATGTTTTATTCGAATAAATCGACAGTTTTCACAACTAACGGTCAGTTTTTAAATTCCCGTGGAGGTTTCTTCGGCCCTATCCATATATACTCTATCTAGTTCCGGTTTTCAGAGAACAAGAACATCCAAGAACATTTACAATTGCTATCCTTTGAGAATTTCAAAGAGTTTTATTGAATCAAATCCTCCTACTCAATTCATTCAAGCATTTTCTTGAGCAATCCTTCAAATTGAAGTTTGGAGAGTCATTTGTGCCATACACTATAGGTTTGGTTGTAATCTACAGCATATCCACTCTTGTTCGAAGAGTCAATTCCGCTGTGCACTTTGGTTTGTAAGTTTTTAAATTGTAAAAGCTTGAATTTGAAATAATTCAAGTTTTGGATTGAAATCCAAAGTCTTGTGAAATCAAGACTTCAGTGGAAAGGTTAGAGGCTTGTGAAATCAAGTTCTCGAGTTGTATTCGGATTGTTAAACTCCGTTAAGTTTAACAAGGATTAGTGGAATCTCGGGCACGTTTGCCTTGGGGACTGGACGTAGGCATTAGGCCGAACCAGGATATATCGTTGTCTCTTTACATTCATTATTTCCGTTATCCTTTTAATTTTTATTCCTGCACTTTTATACTTAAAGTCGAAAATTTTATTATTTTTGTAAACACCTCTATTCACCCCCCCCCCTCTAGAGGTGTGAAAGACGTCTAACAATTGGTATCGGAGCTTGTTGTTTTCCATAGTTTAACCGCAGGAAACACGATCATGGCCGGAAGATTATTTCAAGCAGGAATATCCGAGGGACAATCAACTACTCGTCCTCCACTTTTTGACGGAACAAACTATGCTTATTGGACAGAAAGAATGAGGATATTTATTCAATCAAACGACTACGACTCTTGGATGGTGATCAAATACGGAGACACTACTCCATACAAAGTTGTTGATGGAATTCGAGTACCCAAATTAGAATCTGAATTTGATGATGGAGATAAAAAGAATGTGATGCAAAACTCCAAAGCCATCAACTATCTTTATTGTGCAGTCAATCCGGATGATTACAGAAAGATTTCACGATGCAAAACCGCAAATGAAATGTGGACCAAGCTTGAGGTAACTTATGAAGGTACCTCGCAAGTGAAGGATGCTAAAGTTGATTTGCTACTTCATGAATATGAGTTATTCTCAATGAAAGCTAATGAAAGCATTGATAGTTATTTTGAGAGATTCTCAAATATTATCAATAATCTTGACACCCTCGGAAAGCACTACACTGATCATGATTTGGTTCGGAAAATCTTACGATGCATGACTCCTGAGTGGAAATCCGAGGTTAGAGCCATTAGTGAAGGAAGGGACTACAATACTTTGACCTATGACACTCTACGGGGAAAGCTACTTACATATGAATCTTCTACGCTTTATCCTCCGGGAGACAACAAACAAAAGAAGTCCATTGCTCTAAAATCCACCAAGGAGATTGAAGAGGAAAATCAAAATGAAGAGTCAAGTGATGTAGAAGACAACCCCGAACTTGCTCTTGTCATCAAACGCTTCAACAAGTTTGTCAAGAAAAATTTCAAGACTAGAAGGGACAAATCAAAGAAGGCAACACCACCCAAATGTTATGAATGTGGTGAATTGGGACATATCAAGCCCTATTGTCCAACATTGAAGCAAGACAAGGACAAGAAGAACAAGAAGAAACAAAAAGCTTATATTTCATGGGATAATAGTGGATCATCCTCCAAAACTAGTGATGATGAGGAAGAAACGGCAAATCTTTGTCTCATGGCAATAGAGGATGAGGTATCATCTAGTTCTTATTCTACTCCTTTATCTACTTCTGATGATTGTTTTTCATTGGATGAGTTACATAGTGCATTTAGTGATCTTTATGGTGAATTTATCAATTCCACCAAAGAAGCTAAATTTGCCAAGGAAAATGTCACCTCTCTTGAATCTAAAATAATCGAACTTAATAAAGAGATGGAATTATTAAAATTGGAGAATAAGAAACTTGGCAAAGTTAGTGTTGATTCACCTTGTGCACAATGTAAGATCCATGTAAAAGAGATAGCTAGATTGCATGAGCATTTATGAAAATATAATAAGGATAGCAAAGATATGCACTTTATAGTTCAACAAGGACAAAAAAATAAAAATGGACTAGGCTATAAATCTAAAGGCTTTAAAAAGGTGAATTTCGTTAAAGAAGGAGAAAGACCTTTGGAGGATCCTAAGGATAAGAGTAATATAGTTCATAAAATTGGTAGTAATACTAAGACGACTAAACCTAGAGTAGCAATTCCCCCCACTACTTCTAGGATGAGAAAACCTAGTCAGTCTAGGAATTACGTTGCTCATAGGTTCACTAGACAACCTAGACAATTTCCTAGAAATAGACAACCTAGCAATTTTAGAAATGTAAGGAATGAACCTAGACAACCTAGCAACTTTAGGACACATAGGAGACACTCTAGTCCATATAGATATATGTATGATCCTAGAGTTGTTTGTCATTTCTGTGATCACGTTGGACACATAGCTCCTTTATGTTTTAGGAAGCTCAGATTGATTGCTAAGGATAGGAAGAGGGCACACATTGATGTTTATGATGTTCATACTAACTATCAAGGACCCAAAAAGATTTGGGTACCTAAAACCCCTAATTAAATAATTACACAGGTGTGCTTGAAGGCATCAAGTGTACTTTGGTACCTTGATAGCGGATTCTCCAAGCACATGACCGGAGATGCATCCAAATTTGTTTTTCTAAAACCAATTGATGGTGGAAATGTCATTTTTGGCGACAACAACAAAGGAAAGATAATTGGAACCGGAACTGTTGGCAAAAACAAAGCTTCCGGAATTGAAAATGTGTTGTTGGTTGAAGGCCTCAAGCATAATTTGCTTAGCATTAGTCAATTGTGTGATAAAGGTAACCGTGTCACTTTTACTTCTAATCACTGCTTGGTCGAACGCCTTTGTGATAACAAGATTATCCTTACCGGCGATCGCATAGATAATATTTACATGATCAACCTTGAAAATACTTCAACGGACTTTGCTCATTGCCTCATTACTAAAGAGGAAGAGATGTGGCTATGGCATAAAAGAATTGGTCACACTAATATGGAACTAATTAATAAATTAGTTTCAAAAGACCTAGTAATTGGTGTTCCTAAACTCAAATTTGAAAAGGGAATTTGTGATTCATGTCAAAAGGGTAAACAAGTAAAAACCTCTTTCAAATCAAAGAAAGTTGTTTCTACTTCTAGACCATTGCAGCTTTTGCACATTGATCTCTTTGGACCTTCTCGAACTATGAGTTTAGGTGGTAATTACTATGCCTTGGTTATTGTTGATGACTATTCTCGTTATACATGGACCTTATTTCTTTCTCACAAGAGTAATGCACCTTCATCTTTTCGCAAATTCACTAAGAAGGTTCAAAATGAAAAAGGTTGTAGCATTGTGGCCGTAAGAAGTGATCATGGGGGAGAGTTTGATCAAAGTGGGTTTGATACCTACTGCGATGAAGTAGGCATTGCACATAACTTCTCAGCCCCAAGAACGCCTCAACAGAATGGCGTTGTTGAGCGGAAAAACCGATCTCTCAAAGAGATGGCGAGAACTATGCTTAGTGAGGCTAACATACCTAAGTACTTTTAGGCGGATGCAGTGAGTACTAGTGCTTATATTCTCAATCGTGCGATTATAAGACCTATACTCAATGCTACTCCGTACGAACTGTATAAGGGTAGAAAGCCTAATCTCTCACATCTTCATATCTTTGGTTGCAAATGTTATGTTTTGAATAATGGAAAAGATAATTTAGGACCTTTTGATGCCAAGTCAGATGAAGCAATTTTTATAGGTTATTCTTTGACAAGTAAGGCCTACAGAGTTTTCAACAAACGTACCTTAGTTGTTGAAGAATCTGTACATGTTGTGTTTGATGAAAATAATGCTCGCTTGTCGAGAAGGGTATCTTGTGATGACCTTGCAGGTTCACTTGAGAAAATGAATCTTGAAGAAGGTGAATC